GTTAAGCACCATATAAGGAAATTTATAAAGACCTTTTAACTAGAAGCAAGCAATCTAAAATTACATACATTTTGCAAAAGGTAAAGCATGGATCTGAAGATAATGCAGAAAAATGCTCAGAGGATAAGGATAACTTGCCGTTTTCTTTTTGGCAAGTTATCCTCGGTTAATAGTGCTTTTAGTGATAACGAAGAAAACATTATTTAATTTATATTAATATGTATCACTTAAATATCTTTATTAAAATTTTCTTATCTTAATTATGAAAATATAATAGCATGTTTTTTAATTTTTGGAATTTAACCCTCCTTTTCGTACTGGTTCTTTGTTTCGCATAACACGGCAATTTTTTGGAACGTAACTACCGTGTTATACAGGGGTTACCTGTAATAGCATTGTAATTGTAGAGATCCCCAAGCCTATTAACCTCAACCTGGTTTGTATGCCATTCTAAGACTGTTGATCTGACATCCTCCATTTCTTCAAAAGATCTTTAATTAATAGCAGATATCAGCATTAATCCTCTTTTTCAGAATAAAACATATCTTGCCGAGTTTCTTGGTGTTCTCCATTCAAGAGTTCTTGGCATTTTTCTGTCGTCAGATCCGTTTCAGGTTACATTATGAGCTCTTCATTGTTCTTTATTTCTCAGATGTGATTTTTGTTACTCCTTTAGCTGCTTGAGTCTTCTTGATAATACAGTATCTTTCTTAGATAAGATTGAACTGCGGCCTACTGTAGACCTGTTCAAGCCATCTGCTCAGCAACATCAGACATCTTCTGCCCACTCTCTACCTTTGCTATTATACTCTCACATTTTGAAAATAAAAACCGACACAAAACTTAATGAGTGTCTGCCCGACAGTCATGCGAATACTATAAAAGAATTGTTTGTCAGAAAAATAAACAGTTGGAATTAAAAGGGAGTATTTCAAAGTTCGAGGGATACTATCTAATCAGTATATTATCAGGTTGACGTTGAGGTCTCCCGCGCTCCAAAAAGTTACCTGAAAACAAAGGAAAATCAGTCAGTATTTGCTATTTTCGTCGCTTCTTTTTATGCTTGTTCAGTGAAGTGTTCATTATCCGATCATGTGTTTATTGTCCGATCATAAAAATCTTTCGCGAAAGTGTTCGTTATCCGATTTGTTCATTAACCGATCTGTTCATTAATTGATCACCCACTGTATATATACAGTAGAGCATCGATTATCCGATCCCCGATTAACCATCACATCGGTTAACCGACCGTTCTAGTCAGTAAATTTTAAATGTCTGCTGGTGATGTGGCACTACAATATTTGGCTATGTCTTGGCTACTTTAATATTATTTTTTTTTAATTTTTGCGTGTTTTAGCTGGCAACACCGGCTCGACCATTGAAGGGAGGCCAGTATTTAAATGAGACTTAATTTTCTAATTATGAGTGGTTGTTTCTTTTGTGAGCAATAAAATAATTTTTAATGATACAATAGCGACGATTATTACAGGTAGGCCTCCTACAACGCGGTAAATATGTTCCTTGAAAATACCCTGTTGTGGGAAATCATGTTATAGGAGACACCAAATTAATACAAAAACTGGGATTCGGTTCTAAAAAGAGAAAAACTTGCCATTTGAATGGCGTTTTTTGAATTTTTCAAACCAGCCATTGCTAGCCACGAATTTAACACTGGTTTTATCAGCTGACAACTGTCCCATTTGTTTTGAATAATCAAATATTTTTAAGGCTTTTTGTTTAAGTGCAGTTTTATTTAAAGGCACCCATTTCTTGTTCATATCTTCTACTCATAATATTTGTGCTTGTTCCATTTTTTTTCATTATAGGTGCTCTCGGACGAGCAACATTTTTCGCAAGAATAGATGATACAGATGCGACCAAATTTCTGATATTTTCTCCCGATTGCTTAATCAACCAAATAGTCAACTCATTTAAATTAAAATGCCTACCAATATTAGCTATTCGCTCTTGATTTTTAATTCGATCCAAAATTTTTATCTTTGTTTGAAGAGTTATAAATTTCCTTTTTAATGATGGTCCTTTCTTTTCATTCGGCATTGTTATGGCTAAAATTTTTTCAGTCAGTTTTGTGGACAGTAAAAAATCGCAAAAAATAACTTTCTTTCACTATGTTGTTAAAAAAACCCAATAGAAGTTTATACTGTATTTTGGACCATTTTTGCAATCCCCACTTATTGAAAGAGTATAAATGATCAAAAATTTAGTGATATATTTGAGTGTTTATGGTAACTGATGCACATCTGTCTAGAAACCGGTCTTCCCCTGAAACTTTCAAGGGAATAACACGCCAACGTCGACAAACAGCTGTTTTCAAAGACTTTTAGCTCTGTATACCGAACTGAGGCTCGTATCATGTGATCCGTTGTGATTTTTCTGTTATGTGAAGATAATTCGTTTCTAATTACCGTAAACCGCATTGTAAAAGTACTGTGTTGTAAGAAAATTTCCACATTTTTCCAGCTGCGTCGGAGTGAAAATGCGTTGTAAAGGTATCACATTGTAGGAGGCCTACCTGTATTTTTTAAAAAATTTGTTAGGCTTAACATCGATGAAAATTCAACGCAAAGTTGGTTAATAGTGATATACTAACATACTAATTACCTGGGATATACTAATATACTATACTAATAATGTATTTTTTTCATTTTTTTTTGGTTATCCGATTTTTTCAGTTATCTGACCAACCTGAGTTCCCAATTGAGTCGGATAATCGATGCTCTACTGTACTTTCTTACTATGTTTATTTATATGTAATAATAAAAATACATATATACACAATCTTGCCTTTTTATTAGTCATGTTTTTTCCGTTTGTGAGGGTTAAAGAATCTGACTAATGTCAATTGTCTCTTTTTCAGGATTTTTCAGAAGTAATTAATAGCATTGTAATTGTAGAGATCCCCAAGCCTATTAAACAAAACCTGGTTTGGATGCCATTCTAAGACCATTGTTCTGACATCCTCCCACTTCTTCAAAAGATCTTTAATAGCAGATATCGGCATTAATACTCTTTTGCAGAAGAAAATATATCTCGCCAAGTTTTTTGGTGTTCTTCATTCAAGAGTTCTTGGCATTCTTCTGTCGTCAGATCCGTTTCAGGCTCCATTATGAGCTCTTCAATGTTCTTTATTTCTCAGATGTGATTTTTGTTACTTCTTTAGCTGCTTGAGACTTCTTGATTATACTGTATCATTCTTAGATAAGATTGAACTGTGGCCTACTGTAGACCTGTTCAAGTCATACTGCCCAGCAACATCAGACATCTTCTGCCCACTCTCTACCTTTGCTATTATACTCTCACCTTTCGAAAATAAAAACCGACACAAAACTTAATGAGTGTCCGCCCGACAGTCTCGCAAATACTATAAAAGAATTGTTTCTGTCAGAAAAATAAAAAGATGGAATTACAAGGGAGAGTTTCAAAGCTTGGAGGAATACTATCTGATCAGTATATACCAGGTTGAGCATCAATGTCTGTGTCTCCCGCACTCCGAAAAGTTTTGAAATGTTGCCTGAAGACAAAGAAAGACCAATCGGTATTCATTATTTTGCATCACTTCTTGTGTTTGTTCTGTGAGGTGTTCATTGTCCGAACATAAAAATCTTCATGAAAGTGTTCGTTATCCGATTTGTTCGTTAACCGACCACCCACTGTATTGACCTGTTGTCTGTGAAATACTAGGGTTAACTTTTACATGGGGTCTATGGAAAATTCCAGATTTTTGGCCAAAAGTAAGGGGTTGACTATTACACGAGTATATATGGCAAATTATAAATGTAAAAAACATCTCATATACAGATATTGAATCTGGAAAAAACTTCCATGTGTGATGCCTTAACTAATCACACTATACCATAACTTCTTGAATCACTCTTCTGCATTGGTATTAATAATTGTAGAAAAGCTTTTGTCGTAATTTTATTGAGAATGTCTGCAAGACCCACTGGTCCTGCAACTTTGGTAGTATTTAAGTGTAAGTAAATACAACACATCCACAAAATGTCATTGAAATTGGTAATTACAAACTGCCAGTTTCCCTTGTTAGTGTGCACTCTGGTGACATCAGAAGGATCTGCACATAATCTGTCATTTCTCCTGTAAGACTTTTGCTCTTGGTCAAAGTTTTTCTCATTGGTTTACAATATTAGAAAGTTGACAATTTCTAAATCAGAGTTCTGCACATGTGGCAACAATGACTGTGTGTCTTTTCATTTCTGTGTAAACAACATTTTATTTTCCATGGGGGGTTTGAACAAATAGAGACATTTTAATTGGTTTAAATAGTGTAATATGCTGAAAATTAGCTGTCCTCAAATACCCTCACACCCTGTATATATCAGCAACACACTTAACATGTGAACAAACATTTTCTTTTATCACCTTCAGTGACCCTTATCAGTCTACAGCAGGTTGCCAAAGTGGTCTATATTGACCCTCAGGGGTCAATATAACATTATTGGAGGGGTCGATGAAAAGACTAAAACTTAGAAATTTTGAACCGAATATTGCTAATCTTGCTAAGGATTATCAACCTTATCTGTCTCATTGATTGTCAATTACAAAAATTATTATTAACATATGTACAATAAATGTAAAAAATGTAAAATTAAAAGATATATATTAAAATAGTAAGAGCTTTTCGTTTTTGCTTGTAACACAAACTTTTTGGTGGGGGTCAATGTGATGTTTCGAAAAGTTGTAGGGGGTCAATGATCAAAAAAGTTTGGTGATCCCTGGTCTACAGTGTCTACGGTTTGAATGATATTAAGTATCTTATTGCATGGTCTTACAGTTGTCTAATGAAATAACTAATGTAGGATTTATTAAATATAACTATGAGTTCATTCTTTTGTTACCTTAATAATACATATAATCTTAAAATTTTTTTCACTATAGTGTTAAGATTAATGCATATTGCTATGCAAAGATTAATAATCTGATTAACATTTATTCATTCAATTTCTTTTATAAAATAATAGGCTGGTGGATCTAGTGGACTTCTAATGGATTTAGCAGCAAATGAAAAATCAGTTCATGCAGATTTTTTTAATGGTAAGTACAAGTAAAATATAGATTGAGCTTCACAATCTGTAAGTTTGTTAGTGTCAATCTATATTGTTAAAAATCTATAAATTTGAGTTTATAGTTATAACAAAAATATAGAACTTTGGAACTAATTGAAGCATACTGTTATAATTCTTTGTCACATGTGTTTATGTACAGATACAAGTATAGAGCTTCAATGAATTTGAATGCCCGTAGATCTTAGATCATTGTATAACTCTTAATAGTCACTATCAAAGTATAAATACACATTTATTTTATTTAAAACAACAAATGTGATCTTCATTTTATCTTGATATTCCTCTCAATGTTAAATTAATTTTTTATTCAAATGCATCTCCCTTGCCATTATACAATATTGAAACAGGATCTTGATGTTTTACTTTAAGAGATATTTAAGGTGGCAATACTGTAAGGTCTCTTTTTATGCAAATTATTTTTATGTGATTTTGAAGTTGTGCGGTTTGTATTTCATCCAAAAATTTCTTGACAAACATACATATAGGCTTGTTTAGGAAGCCCGCGTATAGTCTCGAAAAATCGTGGAACGCTCAAAGCTCACTCCATTTGTTCCACTGACATATAACATTTATGAATGTAAAGAACAGCTAGACCTACCTTAATCGTTTTAGTTCCTAGCAATTTTTGATATAAATGTAATTAAACATAAAAAATACTTAAAACTGAAAAAAAAAACGAAAGAAATGTGTTAATTTTGAAGAAAAAGCTTCAAAGTTTAACTTCCTTCGCCCTTCTGTGAAATTTAACACCGATGAGTCATTGTTTACACATCTGGATGACCTTGAACACAGCTGGAGTTGGATTTCCCGGGGCATTCTCAGACGTCGCGGGAGGACAAGGGTTTAAAGTAGGGTGAACACTAGCTGGCCGTATATTTTTAAAAATTGGAGACAAAAAACATTCCAAAAATTGAAAAAAAAATTTTCAAATTAATTAACTCTTCACATCCAGATGTCAGTGATTTGTTTTTAGAGTGAGCTTTTGCAATTCGGGGATTCCCCTTGTACTACTTTTCAATAAAATAAACTGAATTAAGTTTGAATACAAGTTTATTTTAAGCTTTTATATGAATTTCTTTCAGACATTCGAAGTAATTTATTA